AGATATACAGTGGGGAAAAGACAGTCTCTTCAACAAATGGTGTTAGGAAAACAGTACAGCCACATACAAAAGAATAAAACTGGACCACTACTTTAAACCACATACAAAAACAAATTCAAAATAGTTTGACTTGAATGTTAAGACTTAAAACCCTAAAACTCCTAAAAGAAAACATAGACTGGAAGCAACCTGATATGAGCCTTAGCAATATTTTTTTGGACTCATCTCCTCAGGCAAGAGCAACAAAAGGAAAAATAAACAAAGGAGAATACATCAAACTAAAAAGCTTTTGCACAGGGAAGAAAACCATCAACAAAATGAAAGGCAACCTACTGAATGGGAGAAAATATTTGCAAATCATACATCCAATAAGGGGTTAATATCCAAAGTACATAAATAATGTACACAATTTAACATCAAAAAAGGTGAACAATGTATTAAAAAACAGGCAGAGGACTTGAATAGACATTTCTCCAAAGAAGACATACAGATGGTGATCAGGTACATGAAAAGATGCTCAACATCACTAATTACCAGGGAAACGCAAATCAAAATCCCAATGCGATTATCACCTCACCTCACACCTGTGAGAAGGGCATTATCAAAAAGACAAAAAAATAACAAGTGTTGGCGAGGATGTGGAGAAAAGAGAACCTTTATATGCTGTTGGTGGGAATGTAAGTTGGTACAGCCACTATGGAAAACAGTATGAAGGTTCCTCCCAAAATTAAAAATAGGACTAGCACATGATCCAGCAATTCCACTTCTGGGCATTTATCCAAAGAAGATGAAAACACTAATTTGAAGAGATATATGCACCACTTTGTTCACTGCAGTATTATTTACAATAGCCAAGATATGGGAGCGACCTAGGCGTCCATTGACAGATGAATGATAAAGACGAGGTGGTGTGTGTATTTGAACATATATGTATATATTAATTATATTCCAATACTACTGGAATAGATACAATTGAATACACACACACACACACACACACACACACAGAATGGACTATTACTCAGCCCCCAAAAAGAATGAAATCTGACCATTTGCAACAACGTGGATGGACCCAGAGAGATTTATACTAAGTGAATAATTCAGACAGAGGAAGATAAAAGCCATATGATGTCACTTAGTGTGGAATCTAAAAACAAAACCAAAAACAAACAAAGAAAAAGAAACAGACTCATAGATACAGCAGAATTTTCTTGTTTTATATCTAAGAGGGAAAACTCAACCTTTAGATTTTGAAGTGTTTTCTATGACATTTCAGAATTTCCAGAGAATTCTTCATATGTGAAAGATACTGAAGCATTCTGGTAAAACAAGTATTACCAATAGTGGAATTTTAGGAGTCCGATGTCATCTGGTGACAGTTACGTAAGCAAATCCCCAAGTATCCCACAGGAACCAGAATAAAGGAGGGCGTGAGCTCTAGTAGGGGTGTATTCCATCTTAAGGAATGAGGCACTCCTGCTGTATTCTCTCCACCAGTTACTTGGGCTATACTTGAAATACAACCTCATAGTCATAATTTCTTTGAAATAAATCAGAAATACAAGTGAAAAGTGTGTATATGGTTTGGAAATAAGTAATCTAGTGCATAGGGCATTTAAAAGACGCATAAAACGCAACAGATTATTACTTAAGAGAGTCTTCTTCCCTCAGGCCATCAATTTCCAAAGCTGCAAAATGAATACAGATTAATTATCCTGAAGCATTGTTTCGTGTGTGTGTGTGTGTGTGTGTGTGTGTGTGTNATTCTAGGGCATTCCAATTTATATTCCAGACCAATATATGGCTGCCTGTCCTTCTAAAAAGAGTCAGGCTATATTCCCTCAGTTAAAAATCTTCAATGGCTGCCCACAGTTTAACATGGCGCCCGAAGGCCCGAAACTCTACTTTTACCCTGAATCCCTGCTACTCTACACCATAACCATGGTTCCAGCCAACGTACATGTCCCAAAGTTTCCTCAGCTCTCCACACAGACCAATGTATGACGTGCTACCTTTCCCTTTTGCTCTAATCACTGATGAAGGTTCATGCCAGAGGTCAAACAACCGCCACCCCCCAGCCCTGCGCCAACGGAGGATGGCTACTTTTCATGCACATTCAAAGAACTGTAGTATCTCTACCACAGTTCTCAAATGGTCAACAGCCAGGTCTTCACGTGCCTGTTTCCTCAGACTGTAAACTCAAGGGCGGGAGGGCTTCTCTAAGTCAGGAATACATCTAGCGGTCAATATCAACTCAGAGTCCTTGATCAATTTTTGCTCATCTAGCACAATAATCCATTGACAATTTTGTAAAATTATAATGGGTAAAAAGGGCATACCTCTAAAACTGTTTTGTCTTTTGTAGAAAATAATAAAATAGACACACACTTGAGTAGATTAAAAGCTACGACATGACTTCAAGGAAGTAAAAAGAGCTAACGTTTTCTCAGAGCCGATGATATGGCCAGTACCTTCTTAACTGCTTTACGCGTTAACCCATGTGCTCCTTACAACAACCCTATGACGTAGGACCATTCCACTGTTCGGATGAAACAGGCAGGCCCACACGGGGTACAGCAAGGCGCAGAGCCAGGGTTCAAAACGAGGAGGCCCAGCTTGCAAGTTCTTCCTTTCACTTTCTAAAATTCACTCGGCAATGTTTTGTTATGACTACGCTTCATTCAATTTTGGTTTAATGAACATTTAACGTAACACAGCGAACAAAGATATTAGATACCTGAGCATTGGTCTTGGCGGAGGTGGCAGTTCGTCAGGATCCTGGCATCTTTTCGCTTTTTTAGTGACTTGTTTATAGATATTCCGAGCTGTCACTCCCACCCATAGGACTGTAGCAAGGGTGGAATAATGAAGAATTATTCCGACCTAGAAAGAAGATTGAAGAATACATAAAATGAAAGGAAGAAAAAAATACCTCCCTTTCAATCATCAAGTGTAGTAGCTGCCAGTAAGGTTTATGAACAAGATTGGTAAGTAACTTTCAAAAATCTGATTCAAAAACAGTACGAAGGTATATTCTAATGATCAACTCCTTTGCCTGCTAACAAAACAAAGAAAACACTCTACCAGACATATAAGAGAGAATCAATGTTCTCTAATAGACAAACAAACAGTTGGATCTAGGAGGCCCACAAGCTACAACTTACACTCAAGATGACCTTTGATACACTATAGAATTGGATCCTGGACAACAGTGAACCAAAGGTGTGTTTCTCATAGATGCAATGTTATCAATTATGCAGTGTTCAGTTTCTAACGTCCACTTTAAGGGGGAATGTAGAAGGCCAGGGGTAATTACAGGGCACAAGTCACTGCCTAAGGAATCAGCTTTAGAGAAAGAGACCTGAGCTCAAATCCAGGGCTTTGACATAAACTAATGGAAAGAGAGCAATTTAACATATTGGTGGTTAAGAGGGAAAGCTCGGAGTAAAAAAAAATTTGCCTGGTTTTAAAACTAGGATCTACCCCTTACCTGCTGTGATACCATAGCAAATCACAAGTATTGTTTTCCTCATTTGTAAACTGAGAATGCTATGAAAGTACTGTGAGGTTTCAATTCAATGCTAAATAAAGCATTTAGTACACTGCCTGGAACATGATAAGCAATGAACAAAAAAAGATCTATATTTATTATTACTTATTAGGAGTGTGGTTTTTAAGAAAATGTCACTTCTCTGAAACTAACTTTCCTCATTTGAATAGTGAGGATTATCAAAATCATCTTTAGGGTTTTTTGTAGGAATTGACTGTGCATAATACCTGGGACATAATAAGTGCTCAATAAATAGTGAGTGCTGCACACCTGAAACTAATACGATATTGACTGTCAATTATAATTGAAAAAAATTATTTAAAAAAATAGTGGATAACTACTAATTGAGTTTCCTTCCTCAGGGGTGATGAAGGACCTTATTTATCATAGGACCTATGTTTGAAGCAACCCTAAAGATAAAATTCTAGATGCAGATATATAATATATACATATATATATATATATGTGTGTGTGTGTGTGTGTGTGTGTGTGTGTGTGTGTATATGGGACTAAGAGAG